AGAAGTCCACTCCCTCACGCTGTCTGAAGCCTCTTGCCACGTAACGCGCCTTGAACTTCGGCGGCTCTCCGGGTGCGCGCTTCACCCTGTAGATCCACATGCCATCGACTACGTTCGCCCCAGGCCGGGGAACTGCATCAACGTAAATGCCAGTGGATCTGTAGGATGCCATCTCATTCTCCATGGCCTGTATCCACTGAGATCCCCAGCGCCCCGACACCGCCTCAGCGTAAGAGCGCGGAACAGGGATGTCGAGAGCGTCTGGGTCGCCCTCTGGGGATACAAGCATGGAGCAGAGATGGGGAACAGTGGCAGCAAAGTAGGCCAACTCGTACTGCTTGTCCTCTAGCATGTCATTGCCAAGGGCAGGTGTACCCCCGACGGACGGAGGACGGACAGTACCAGAGAACAGAGCGACAGCGTAGTCAAGGAGGTGGCTGGCAACAAAGTCAACGACGGCAGCGACCAGCGTGGAGACTGACTCAGGAGACGCAAGCAGGTGCGACAGGATTGGACTAGCAGTGCAAACAGCATCGGAGCGAGGAGGGGGGATGACGGTAGCGACGACGGGGGAGGCAACGGGAGGACTGTGACGGGAGGAGCACGCGAACGAAGGAGCATAGGGTGGACACTAGGAAGGGGAGAGATAGGACAAGCACCAGAGGGGCGACGAACCCAGTGGGGAAGAACTGGGGACTGGGGACGAGGGGGACGGGGGACATGTCAGTGGACGGAGGGGAGCGCGGGGGGAAACGAGCCGGAGAGGAGTCCGGAGGAGGAAACAATGGGCCATAAACAGGGTCACGCACCGGAGGGGGAACGAGCGAGCTGGCAGGGGAACCTGGAGCAAGACCAAGGGGATGAAGGGCAGACTGTGGCGGCTCCTACTGCGGCAGCTGCACCTGCTGCTGCTGCTACTGCCTGTCCGCTCCAGGACCTCCAGTGGCACCCAAGCTGCCACCCGCACGCCGCAAAACAGCACCCCCAAGACTAGCACCCTCAGTCTCACCACCTACAGAACCAGCACCCTTGGAATAAGCACCCCCATAACTCGCACCCCAAGAACCAGCACCCCCAGAGCCCACTGCTCTCTGTTGCTGCTGCTGCGGCCGTGGAGTCTACTGCGGCGACGGCTGCAGCTGCTGAGGCAAGGGAACGCGCGGTTGAGGGGCTTGGGGGATCGAGGTTGGGGGAGGCACCACAGGGACAGCAGGCGCACCCCCAGCAGCTGGGCCCCCAGAGTCAGCCGACTCCCCCACAGGGGGAACCGAGGGGAACTTAGTGGCGTGGGAGACACCAGACTGGGCCGGGCGGGGCGGGAGGAGTGCGGCAGGGGGGACAGGGACAAGGAAGAGAGGAGGAGGAGGCACAAGAGCGATGTGGTGCGGGAGGTAGTAGGGGAGCGTCTCGTCGAAGGTGATGTCATGAGAGTGGTAAAAACGGTGGTGTGAGGGGTGGTAGAACAGCCAGTCAGAGGCGTCAAGTGGGAACCCCAAGAAGACACAAGGAAAATGCGGGCTGAGAGCTTGTCCGCGGCATTATCATGGACGTGAGCAAGGCTGCCCCAGACGTGGAACGTAGACGCGTCACCAGGAGACCCGGTCCAGAGGAGGGTCGGCGAAACCCGTGGTCGTTGGGAGGGCAGCCACAGGTTAAGCTGGTAAGTAGCGTAGTGCACGGCGAACGGCCACAGAAAATATGGTGCACCTGAGTGGACCATGGAGGTGCGAGCCACCTCCATGATCAGGCCGATGCGTCGCTCAGCGACCCCATTCTGCTGTGGGGATTCCGGTAGTGTGTACGTCTGGCGGCTGCATAATGATTTGGGGGTGCATGTCGTATGATGGCGCGGGTTTCATGTGCAAAATAGATGGTAGGATGGACGGACCGCTCTATCTGAGTATACTGCAGGACGAGCTCAATAGTACGATTGAGTTTTACCAGCTTTCACCCTCGGAAGTTATCTTCCAGCACGACAACGACCCGAAGCACAAGTCGCGTATCGTGCAGGAGTGGCTTAGAGAGCAAGAGTTTGGGTGCTAGAGTGGCCATCTTCCTCACCCGACCTCAACCCAATAGAGAATTTATGGGCTCATCTCAAGAGGCAGCTGGCCAAGCACGAGAAGCCTCCCACTGGTATGCTGGACCTTAGGGAGCATGTCCAGGAGGAATGAGAGAAGATCCCGACGGATGTGTGCACCCACCTGATGGAAAGCATGCCCAGGAGGGTGAGGGCGGTGATTAAGGCGAAAGGGCGGTGGACTAGGTACTAGTTTGGGGTTGTTGTAACTTGCTGCTTGCGACTGGCAATAATTGTCCGCATGTACCATGATTGTTAATTTCTGTTATTTGTTGTAAACATCAATATCTTTGTGAGATGTAAGGCATGGGCGTGGAGCCTTACCCCAACCTACATACACTGGGCACACTAAAAGATTCAGGCTTAATGTCCATGACCCCCTAAAATGGCAAAATTCCTCTAAGTCACAAACATGTGGACAATACTTTCCGCCACTGTAGGTGCTCAACTAAGTATGCTACAGTGGTGAACGGCGTCAGGTCAGGGTGGAAGAACAGGAGGAGGAGGCGACCAAGAGTGGCAAACAATGGGGTGGAGTACCTAGCTAGGATAGCCAGCCAGAGGTCGCGGGCTGACGCAGCACCCACAAAGTGGGAGTGCTCGGCAACCGGCAGGCACCTGAGGATGGCGACTCGAGCAGTGGGGTCGCGAGACGCCCAAATAGAGTAGGTAGTACGAGCAGCAGCGTGCACAGCTTGCTTCTCAGACGTCACGTCATGAGTAGGAGCGCCCAGGCGAGGAATAGTGGGGAGCTCACCAGAGACGTGGGCGCCCAAAGACTCGTCGTCGATGCGTTGACTCGTGAGCTGAAGGAGAACTGCCTCCTACCAGGCGGCAAAACCGACTGCCCGCCCCTCCCCATACAGGCACAGAACGAAGACGCCGGGCGACGCCATGCTGGCAGCTGCGGCCGGAAAGACAGTGGCGGCAGAAGCAGGAAAAGCTGGGGCGGCTGCTACAGAAGCCGGTGGCAGCGAGGGTGGCTAGCTAGCAGCGAGGTGAGGATGGCAGCAGGCCAGCAGTGAGCTGGCTAGCGGAGGCGGCTACATGGGTACGAGCGAGCCACGGCAATGGTGACAGCAGTGGCAGAGCAAGCTGCAGCAGTGGCAGGGGCAGTGGCTGCAGCAGAGAGGCGCCGCTGGCAGTGGCAGCTGGCGGGCAGTGGAGTCAGTTGGCGCTGCTGACTAGTGCGGGTAAGAGGCGGGCGGGCACTGGTGGCTAGCAGCTGGCATTGGCGGCTAGCACTTGGCGAGCTGGTGGCTAGCAGCTGGCAGCTAGCAGCTGGCGCGCTGGCGGTTAGCAGCTGGCGAGCTGGCGCTGGCTGGTAGCAGCTGGCGAGCTGGCGCTGGCGGCTAGCAGCTAGCGAGCTGGTGGCTAGCAGCTGGCGGCTAGTAGCTGGCGAGCTGGCGCTGGCGGCTAGCAACTGGCGCGCTGGCGGTTAGCAGCTGGCAGCTGGCGCTGGCTGGTAGCAGCTGGCGAGCTGGCGCTGGCGGCTAGCAGCTGGCGAGCTGGCGGCTAGGAGCTGGCGAGCTGGCTCTAGCGGCTAGCAGTTGGCGAGCTGGCGCTGGCGGCTAGCAGCTGGCGAGCTGGCGCTGGCAGCTAACAGCTGGCGCTGGCGGCTAGCAGCTGGCGACTTGGCGAGCTGGCGCTGGCTAGCTGGCTGGTGCTTGCGAATGCTTGCTGGCGCTGGCAAGCTGGCGTTAGCGTGCTGGCGCTGGCGAGCTGGCGCTGGTGGCTAGCAGCTAGCTGGCATGAGCTGGGGGCTAGCTAGCTGCCGCTGGCGGCAAACTGCTGGCAGGGGCTAGCGAGCTAATGCTGGCGAGCTGGCGCTGGCAAACTGGTGCTGGCTAACGAAGGCGCCAATGTGGTGCGGGCTAGCGGCGGTTGGCGCTGGTCGGCACTAGCTGGTGGCGGCTGGCGCTAGCTGACGCGAGCTACGCGACGAGCAGAGGAGGGCGATGAGGGGACGATCTACGAGGCGCGCAACTAGGGGTGAGGCGCGCTAGGCTAGGGTGTGCTAGGGCGGAAGCGTGAGTAGAGGGCGAGACATAGCTCTAGATGCCATGTTAGATAGAATGTCGAGAGAAAGTTGACTAAGGGAGGAAGGCTGCGGGTTACAAAGGTGGGAATGTACCCTCTAAGAACTGACCTAACTAAGGCTATAACAAATATACAGTACCTAGCATAGACAATTATATTTGTTGACAGAATCTTGCACTCTTCCTGCAAGCACACGTTGGCCCTAAATCTGTTGAAGGGCCCAAGAAGACGCCCTCACACAGCCTGCAGCGCATCTTGCTCAAGCCCTAGATTCAAGGGCCAATTTGTGCCCTCACACGCCTTCCAGCACAAATGGCACGGTGATTTTGGTGAAGGGATAATCAACCCCCTAACACAGCCTCGAGCACGGACCAAACGATGATTTCGCCAGTGCGCGTGCATGACATGACGCGTTCTGCTCTGCGGAACACAGGGGCACAGCTAGTTGCAGGGCGCAGGGTCATAATCACAGATATCCTCCCTATACACTGACCATCAGAGTGGAATAAAGGTATACTCGGAGAAAATCAGCGTAAAAAAAATTCCTCTTATTTACTCAGGGCCCCTAGAGTAGTTATTAAAAACGACTCTGATTTTCAGAGAAACAGAGTAAATTACTTAGATAAAATAGGCCTTGCTGCTCGCTGTTGTGCCTCATTACAATGCTCCACAATCTCTCCGTGCATATATGATTTTCGAAACTCGGGATTCCACGCACAAGCGGAACTGGCGTATAGCGAGTTCCGATGAACGTTCTGGAACTCAGCCGACGAAACCGTGGGCTACACGGCACAAACTCAGGCACGTTGATTTGTGAGGAGGCCGGCCTGGCTAACAAGCGTGCTACGACTGCTACTGCCGAGGGATTGGGGAATGGGATGGCGTACGACAGGAAGATATTAGCTTCCGCCAAATGACCTGACCCGCTGCGATCAGTATTTTCCCGTTCGCGAACGGTTGGCGAAGGTTGCTGAGTACCCGTCCGTCAGGTGCCTCGCCCAGAGATCGCTCACGCTTTGACGGAATGTGGTTGGCTGCGAAGCCTCCTAAACCTGCGAGAGACTCGCCAAGCAGGCGACAGTCACGAGACCCCAAAAACGTTGCTTGGTCCAGACACCTCAGCAGGTGGGTAATCCATCGCACCTGTCGACAATTGTTCGTAATTCTATCATAAGAAGTGTAGTACGAGAGATGTTAGGGTAGCGCTCGTAGCGCATAGCAACGAGTGATAGTCAGCGTAATGCTAGCGCACGTAGCGCATGAATGCTAGCCACGTCATTCCCTAAGGCCGTGCGTCGCTGCGAGGATGGCAGCAGCTCGTCGGCAGCGAGCATCGTCCCTTCCCCACCGCCTCGCTCCACATTCCCCGTCCTATCTTGTCTATCTTTCGCCCTTGCTGCTCCTCGCCTTGCTCTTTCACCCGCAGAACCCCATCCAACCCCTCCAAAGCTCCCGCAATGTCGACCTATCAGACTCCGCCACGTCAGCACCACCAGGGAGCCATGCTGCCGCCCAGCTGCCACCCGCGCCTCAAGCCGAATCCCACCAGCATCTCGAGCGCGAGTCGCTTGCCGTCTTCGCGGCTGTGGAGGCGCTTGCCGCATCCCCATGGCGGGACTTCGAGGCGTCTCAGGCGGCTGTCGACGCTGTGGAGACGGCTCCAAAGCCGGGCGTAGAAGCTTCGCTCCCGGAATTTGGGCAGCCGCGTCTGGCGAGGCGGGCTCTGCCAGACGGGGAGTGGGCGGGTGGAGGGAGGCGGCGATTGGGGGAGGGCGAAGTGCAGGGTGGGGGAAGGCGACGGCTGGGGGAGGCAGACACGCCGTTTAAGGGGACTCAAACGGGGAGGCAGCAACTGGGGGAGGGCGATATGGCTTTTGGGTCTATTGAACACGCGAGGCGGCGACTGGGCGAGGGCGACATGCACGCCAGGCTGACGCCACTGTGGGAGACGGCGAGTCGAGTGGCCGTCAACGGCACTGTTGTTATCGTGTCGACCAATGCAGGTGAGCAGCGCGGGCCGACGCTGGTGAGCAGCGAGCCAATGCAGGGAGAAGCAGCATGGGCAATGCGGGTGAGCAGCATGGGCGATGTGGGTGAGCAGCATGGGCAATGTGGGTGAGCAGCATGGGCAATGTGGGTGAGTAGCATCGACGCATGGGATGCATCAAGCATGGCACCCCATGCCCTGGTGTATGCTATTTTACATCATCGTCAACATGTGTTGTGCATGTGCATCCTCCTCCCTCCCCCACTTCCTTATCCCTTCCAACCCGGTCCTTACCCCCCCCCCCCCCCCTCCCCCTCCCCCCCCTCTTTCCATCATCCCTCCCTCTTCTCCCCAACATGCTACCAGGAGACTGGGCTACGCTCGCGGATACGATAGGCCTGACGGGTCACTACGTCGCATTCAACAACGCAAGGCGTGATGTGAATGCGCATCTTCCTCCCTCCCCCACGACCACCCCCCCGCCCCACCCTCCCTGCTTCAAGGCTACGAGGAGTTGCTGGAGAACTGGGCTCTGCATGCCGACAGGATAGGCCTGGCTGGGCACTACATCATCTTTGCTGCTGAGCACCAGAGCTACGAATACGCCAACAACAAGTGGCCGGGACAGGTGTGCTCCTAGTGCATGCATGGCCGGGACAGGTGTGCTCCTAGTGAATGCATGGCCGGACAGGTATGGTATGCTTGCCAGCAGCAGGATACGCCTGGTGGGGGGTCTCCTGTTCGCTGCTGAGCGGAAAACCTAGAGCAACAAGTGGCGGGGGCAGGTGTGGTGCAGCGGGTGTGGTGCGAGCGAGCACGAGATGTGCACCAGGTTAGCTTGCAAGGAAGGAGTGGTCGTGGGGGATGATCATGGGGCGGGCATCGGTCAACCCATCCCAGCCCGAGCCCGTTTTGTTGCAGCCTCGGGGCTCGCTTCGGCGACGGGCCTACATGGGCCAGCGGGCCGAAAGGCCCGTCGACAGGCCGCTCAAATCTTTGATGAATTGGTAGAAAGTTTTGGCCCCTCCAACCGTTTCGTAAAGCTTAGCAAGCATCCTAGCCTACCTGCCACCTATTTAGCCTAAACGTACCTTTCCACCAGCGAGCACGTTTAGGCCCCGATTTTGAAGATACAGTTTCCTGGAGGAGGCATCACCTGCCACCTGCCACACACGATTAGGGTCAAGGCCTAGCCCAATCGAAGCACCAGATCCGCTCGGATCGCGGGTGAAGTGATCCGATCCGCCAGGATTGGGCTGAGAAACGGCGGATCGGCGCGCATCGGCAGGTGAAACGCCACAGGCCCGAGGGTCGATAGGCCTGACTCGGGCCGGCCCGGCCCGAGGACGGTCCTGCCCTGCCTCGTCCTCTACCCTCGGGCGGGCTTGGCCAAAGCTTGGCTCTTGATCATGCCTAGTTGGGATACGTGCGTTTGGCAGCTATAAAATAGGCCTTGCGAGTCACTGCATCGTCGTTGAATGGAGTGGTTGAGCCCAATATCCTGGCACCCCTCCAGCCCATGTATCTGCTTGCACTTGTCCCACCGCATACTTCCCCCTGGGGCCTGCACCTTCTCGCCTTTGGCTTCTTCGTGCTCTACTCCCAAGTCCCCTTGCCTTGTTGCTGCTACTCCCCACTACTCATGCATCTTCGCCTGCTCGCACCTCCCCCCTCCCCTCCCGTAGGCGCTGCTGCTGGACTTAGAAGATCATTTCGTGCAGGAGGATCAGCAGGTGGACGTGTCGGAAGCTATAGGAATCAATTCACCAGGCTTTCACCGCGTGGCCTCGCGCCGCGCCGTGTACATCATGCACCTGCTCGCCTTTGGCTTCTCCGTGCTCTACTCCGACATCGACATCGCTCTCCTCCAAAACCCCCTCCCCTACTTCGCTCCCTTCTCCTCCTCCGCCTCCCCCCCCCTCTCCTCCTCCTCCTCCTCCTCCTCCTCTTCCTCCTCCTCCTTCTCCTTCCCCTTCTCCGCCTTTTTTTCGTTCTTCGGTTTCCCTCCTCTTCCTGCTCCCCCTGCTCCCGCTGCTCCTCCCCCTGCTCCCGCTGCTCCTCCCCCTGCTCCCCCTGCTCCCCCTGCTCCCACTGCTCCTCCCCCGAAGGAATTCGACGTGTTTATCACTGCGGATCAGGCCTGGACGAACGGCTCAGATCACACGGTATGGCTGGGCGAGCCAGGCCTGCCGTCGATGATGTGCTCGTGCTTCCTTTTCTTCCGCCCTACAGTGGGGGGCAAAGCCGTTGCAGCCTTGTGGGCATTGAGCATGGTAGTAAGAGGGCATGAGGTCGGGCTAGATCAGGACCATCTGATAAACGTGACGAAGATCATGAGTGAGGGCGGAGTTGAGGCGCACATCGGCGTTCTGCCGTGGAAGAAGTTCCCATCAGGGCAGCTGATGAGAGACAATATGATTGAGTTTCAGAGGATAAGGCCTGGCGTCGTGATGGTGCATGCGAATTGGATAATCGGGAAGCAGAAGAAGATTGAGAGGTTGATTGAGGTGGGGGTGTGGCTGCTGCCCCCGACGCCACCGGAGGGTGAGGAGCGGGGAAGTAGAGGGGATAGCAGTGCTGGTGCTGATGCTGTTGGGTGCGGTGCAGGTGCTGCCGATGCTGCTGCTGGTGGTGTTGGTGGTGCTGCTGCTGCTTGTGACGGTGGTGCTGCTGGGAGGATCAAGGTTTTGGGGAGTGAGGGGAGCAGGATTATTGGCAAACATTTTGGTGGCGGTCCTGCTGCTGGCGATGAGCAAGGGAGTGGGCGGGTGGAGGGGGGCGGGGTGGGGGAGGAGGAGGCGGAGAGGCGCCTGATGGGCGTGGCGCGGTGGGTGCCGTCGCATGTGGAGGCTGTCTTAAGGGGTGCGCCTGGCGTGGCCAGGGACGGACTGTTAATTCTTACTGTAATTTGCCATGGTATGGCATGCTAGGTTAGGGCATGGTAGGGCGTGGTAGGGCGTGGTAGGGCGTGGTAGGGCATGGTAGGGCGTGGTAGGGCATGGTAGGGCATGGTAGGGCGTGGTAGGGCATGGTAGGGTAGGGCATGGTAGGGCATGGTAGGGCGTGGTAGAGCTTGGTAGGGCGTGGTAGGGCGTGGTAGGGCGTGGTAGGGCGTGGTAGGGCGTGGTAGGGCGTGGTAGGGCATGGTAGGGCATGGTTGGGCGTGGTAGGGCATGGCAGGACATGGTAGGGTGGCATGGTAGGGCATGGTAGGGCATGGTAGGGGGGCATGGTAGGGCATGGTAGGGTGGCATGGTAGGGCATGGTAGGGCATGGTATGGGGCTGGTGTCTAATGGTTCCTTGTGGGACGGGGTAGTGGGAGTGGCAGAGTGGCAGAGCACAGTTCCAAGGCATGACAGTGCAGGGGAGTGGCAAAGTGGTTGCCATCGCATGTGGATGCTGTGAGGATTGTGCCTGGCGTGGCAAGAGAAGGACCTCTTATTCTAGCAGTGCTCTGCCATGGTATGTCATGTTATGTCATGGTAGATCATGGTAGGTCATGGTAGATAATGGTAGATCATGGTAGATCATGGTAGAACATTGTTGGTCATGATAGATCATGCTAGGCCATGGTAGATCATGGTAGATCCTGGTAGATCATGGTACATCATGGTAGATCATGGTAGGCCATGGTAGATGATGAGAAATCATGGTAGATCATGGTAGGTCATGGTAGATCATGGTAGGCCATGGTAGCTCATGGTAGATCATGGTAGATCATGGTAGATAATGGTAGGTCATGGTAGATCATGGTAGATCATGGTAGATCATGCTAGATCATGGTAGATCATGGTAGATCATGATAGATCATGGTAGATCATGGTAGGTCATGGTAGATCATGATAGATCATGGTAGATCATGGTAGGTCATGGTGGATCATGGAAGATCATGGTAGATCATGGTAGGTCATGGTAGATCATGGTAGATCATGCTAGGCCATGGTAGATAATGGTAGGTCATGGTAGATCATGGTAGGTCATGGTAGATCATGGTAGGTCATGGTAGAACATGGTAGAACATGGTAGATCATGGTAGGTCATGGTAGATCATGATAGATCATGGTAGATCATGGAATATCATGGTAGGTCATGGTAGATCATGGTAGGTCATGGTGGATCATGGTGGATCATGGTAGATCATGGTAGATCATGGTGGATCATGATAGATCTTGTTAGATCATGGTAGGTCATGATTGATCATGGTAAATCATGCTAGGCCATGGTAGTTCATGGTAGATCATGCTAGGCTATGGTAGATCATGGTAGATCATGCTAGGCCATGGTAGATCATGGTAGATCATGGTAGGTCATGGTAGGTCATGGTAGATCATGGTAGGTCATGGTCGGTCATGGTAGATCATGGTAGATCATGGTAGGTCATGGTAGATCATGGTAGGTCATGGTAGATCATGGTAGATCATGGTAGGCCATGGTAGGTCATGGTAGGTCATGGTAGATCATGGTAGATCATGCTAGGCCATGGTAGATCATGGTAGATCATGCTAGGCCATGGTGGATCATGGTAGGTCATGGTAGATCATGGTAGGTAATGGTACGTATGTACCACATAATTTCACCGCGTGTAGCTTCATCACTTCCCTCTTCTGCCTCGCGAATCCCCCTCCACTGCTGAGCTGCAATATCTGCATGAGGTGATGCCATGCACCCTGTCACATGGTATGGCATGGCATGGGGTGTCTTGGCAACTTGTGGCATGGGATGGCATGGCATGGAGTGGTATGGCAACTTGTGGCGTGGTATGGCACGGCCACAGAAAGCGAGTCGGGTCCTTTCAGGAGGTGGCTCAGGTTAATTTCCAAGCTCGGACTCGCAACCAACTTCCTCGCGTCTGTTGCCAGTCAGGTGTGCCTCTGTTTCCAGTCAAATGTGTGCCGTGCATGTGACTTCACAAGTGTAACACCACCTGCTTGTCACCACCTGCATGTCATGTCACCACAAAGACACCCATGCGTATGCTATCCTGCATGCATTCCCAAGCAAACCACCCAAGAGGACATACTTCCCCCCTACTGTTCCCACTGTTCCTTCCGCCTCCCCCTGTCCATTCCCTCCGCCCATCATTCACCAACCTGCCTCCTGTTGTGTCGCTGCTTGGTCCTCTCCTCTCATCCCACCCCTCTCCACCCTTCCCTCAATTCCCTCTGCCCCTGCCAATCCCTCCACCCACTCATGTGCCCTGCTGCCTCCTCCACCCACTCATGTGCCATGCTGCCTCCACCCACTCATGTGCCATGCTGCCTCCACCCACTCATGTGCCCTGCTGACTCCGCCCAATCATGTGCCCTGCTGCCTCCGCCCACTCATCTGCCATGCTGCCTCCACTCCACCCACTCATGTGCCATGCTGCCTCCACCCACTCATGCACCATGCTGCCTCCACGGTCCACCCACTCATGTGCCAAGCTGCCTCCACCCACTCATGTGCCATGCTGCCTCCGCCCACTCATGTGCCTTGCTGCCTCCACCCACTGATGTGCCATGCTGCCTCCGCCCACTCATGTGCCCTGCTGCCTTCGCCCACTCATGTGCCCTGCTCCCTCCGCCCACTCATGCGCCCTGCTGCCTCCGCCCACTCATGTGCCATGCTGCCTCCGCCCACTCATGTGCCATGCTGCTTCCACCCACTCATGTGCCATGCTGCCTCCACCCACTCATGTGCCATGCTGCCTCCACCCACTCATGTGCTATGCTGCCTCCACCCACTCATGTGCCCTGCTGCCTCCACCCACTCATGTGCCATGCTGCCTCCACCCACTTATGTGCCATGCTGTCTCCACCCACTCATGTGCCATGCTGCCTCCACGGTCCACCCACTCATGTGCCATGCTGCCTCCACGGTCCACCCACTCATGTGCCATGCTGCCTCCACCCACTCATGTGCCCTGCTGCCTCCGCCCACTCATGTGCCCTGGTGCCTCCACCCATGTGCCATGCTGCCTCCACCCACTCATGTGCCATGCTGCCTCCACCCACTCATGTGCCATGCTGCCTCCACCCACTTATGTGCCATGCTGCCTCCACCCACTCATGTGCCATGCTGCCTCCACGGTCCACCCACTCATGTGCCATGCTGCCTCCACCCACTCATGTGCCCTGCTGCCTCCACCCACTCATGTGCCCTGCTGCCTCCACCCATGTGCCATGTTGCCTCCACCCTCTCATGTGCCATGCTGCCTCCACCCACTCATGTGCTGTGCTGCCTCCACCCACTCATGTGCCATGCTGCCTCCGCCCACTCATGTGCCCTGCTGCCTTCGCCCACTCATGTGCCCTGCTGCCTCCGCCCACTCATGTGCCATGCTGCCTCCGCCCACTCATGTGCCATGCCATGCTGCCTGTGCCCACTCATGTGCCAAGCTGCCTCCACCCACTCATGTGCCATGCTGCCTCCACCCACTCATGTGCCCTGCTGCCTCCGCCCACTCATGTGCCCTGCTGCCTCCACCCACTCATGTGCCCTGCTGCCTCCACCCACTCATGTGCCATGCTGCCTCCACCCACTCATGTGCCATGCTGTCTCCACCCACTCATGTGCCATGCTGCCTCCACCCATTCATGTGCCCTGCTGCCTCCGCCCACTCATGCACCCTGCTGCCTCCTCCCACTCATGCGCCATGCTGCCTCCGCCCACTCATGTGCCATGCTGCCTCCGCCCACTCATGTGCCATGCTGCTTCCACCCACTCATGTGCCATGCTGCCTCCGCCCACTCATGTGCCATGCTGCCTCCACCCACTCATGTGCTATGCTGCCTCCACCCACTCATGTGCCCTGCTGCCTCCACCCACTCATGTGCCATGCTGCCTCCACCCACTTATGTGCCATGCTGCCTCCGCCCACTCATGTGCCCTGCTGCCACCACCCACTCATGTGCCCTGCTGCCTCCGCCCACTCATGTGCCATGCTGCCTCCACCCACTCATGTGCCATGCTGCCTCCACCCACTCATGTACCATGCTGCCTCCTCGGTCCACCCACTCATGTGCCAAGCTGCCTCCACCCACTCATGTGCCATGCTGCCTCCGCCCACTCATGTGCCTTGCTGCCTCCACCCACTGATGTGCCATGCTGCCTCCGCCCACTCATGTGCCCTGCTGCCTTCGCCCACTCATGTGCCCTACTCCCTCCGCCCACTCATGCGCCCTGCTGCCTCCGCCCACTCATGTGCCATGCTGCCTCCGCCCACTCATGTGCCATGCTGCCTCCACCCACTCATGTGCCATGCTGCCTCCACCCGTGCCGTGCTGCCTCCACCCACTCATGTGCCATGCTGCCTCCGCCCACACATGTGCCCTGCTGCCTTCGCCCACTCATGTGCCATGCTGCCTCCGCCCACTCATGTGCCATGCTGCCTCCGCCCACTCATGTGCCATGCTGCCTCCCCATGCACATCACCTCCCGGCCACCACCCTGCTCTCCCAACTCTTCCCCCCGCCTCGCTCCTGCAGGTCCCTCTTCCCCCTGCCGCTCCCTCCAGCCATATTATTCTCCAGCCTGCCTCTACTGCTGCTGTGGGCGGCAGTGAGAGTGAGAGTGAGGAGAAAGCCGCAGGGAGGGACCGGTTAGCATGCCTGCTTATGCCCGCGCTGCTGGCGTCTCGCCTGCTCTCCATCAACATCACAGTTCTCTTCAGGTTGGTGCGGTGCTCGTCAGGTGAGTGCGGTGCAGTTCAGGTGAGTGTGGTGCTCACTGGCAGGTGAGTGTGAGTGTGCCGCGGTAGTGTGGTGATGCATGTCACGGTGGTGTGGTGCTCCGTAATTGCTTGCAGGCAGGCATCTCTCTCATGTGCCCTTCCTGCATCTTCTTTTCTCACACAAGAATTCGTCTCACAATCTCCATGGTTAGATGTGCTGTGTTCGTCATGTACACGTGGCATTTGTCGTAACATCCTTGCATTGCTCGGCGTTGTATTTGAGCTTTGCGACTATTGCTCTTGCTCTTTGCATTCCAATCAACCAGCATTCCTTCCTGTCTCCTATCTCCTTCTCTTTCCCTTCTCCCCCTATTTCACCCCATTCAAATCTTTCCATTCCCACCACCACCCGCGCCAGTGACCCGTCATCTATCTGGCTGCACAGCCCTCTCCCACACCTCCCCCCCTCCTTCTCAGTCCTCCTGCCCTCGACCACCCATCCCTCCACACCCCCCTCTGTCAACACCACCACTCCTACCCCTCTCAACCGCTCCCTCATCGGCTCTCTCACTCCCTGGCTGCTTCTGCTCCGCCCCTCCCCCCCCTCCTCCTCGCCCTCTCCCTCCTCTCTCTCCTGCACTCACTCCCTCACTCTTTCCTGGGGCCTACACGCATTCAAAGCCCTTTCCAGAGTGCCTTCAATCACAACCAACGTGGAGGGAGAGGGGGAGGGCGTGCGTCTTGCCTTGACAGTGGCTGTACAGAGTGCTTTGAACCATGCTGTATCACGAGTGGCGGAAGCAGTGCCAGGCGAGGCAGGGGGTGAAGGAATTACAGTTGGGGTGTTGCCTGAAGGGTTATTTCCCCCGAGCACGCTGGTGTGTGAAGACAGGCATTGGCTGCAGCAGCACAGGGAGGAGGTGGTGGCATTTCGTTATAACTGTAGAGCTGGCACCAAGCACCGTGTGCCTCCAAGCTACTGAAGGGATTCAGGTGAATGTGCTCCTAAAGGGTAACATTTCATGCAGTGGCATTAGTAGCATGGATTGGCGTAGCATGAACAGGGTCCTCTTTTCAGAAATCTCTAGTCTGAGCCATCAGACACGGGTTTTGCTTTTTGTCTGAAAATCTTGACACTTGTCTGAATTTCAGACAAAACCATACCGGTAGTAGAAATTGTCAGCAAATATAATTATCTAGGCTAGCTAGTTTATATTTGTTATAGCCTTAGTTAGGTCAGTTCTTAGAGGGTACAGTCCTACCTTTGTAAGTTGTAACCCTCGACATTTTCCATTAGCTTTAGCATCTGGACATTCTGACATGGCATCTAGAGCTAGGTTTCGCCCTGTACTCACGCTTCCGCCCTAGCACACCCTAGCCTACCGCGCCTCGGCCCTGATTGCGCGCCTCGTAGCTCGCCCCCTCCCTGCCCTCTCCTCTTCGTCGCATAGCTCACGCCAGCCGCCGCTGGCCCGCGCCCGCCAGCGCCTTAGGTCGTAGCCGTCCCACCTCCCGCCACCTGTTCGTAGCCTGCTCCAGCTCTCGCCAGCCCGCCTGCTCGCCAGCTCGCCCGCTTGCCTGCTAGCCAGCCCGCCAGCCCGCCTGCTAGCCAGCTCGCACACCCGCCTGCTCACTTGCCCGCCAGCCCGCCTGTTCGCCAGCTCGCACGCTCGCTTGCTCGCCAGCCCGCCAGCCCGCTGCTCACCAGCTCGCACGCTCGCCAGCTCGCCAGCCCGCCAGCCCACCGCTTGCACCCTCGCCTGCTCGCCGGCCCGCCTGCTCGCTTGCCCGCCAGCCCGCCTGCTCGCCAGCCCGCCAGCCCGCCTGCCCGCCAGCCCGCCAGCTTGCCTGCTCGCCAGCCCGCCAGCCCGCCAGCCCGCCTACTCGCCAGCTTGCCTGCCCGCCTGCTTGCCCGCTTGACTGCTCACTGGCGCCACCGGCAGCCAGCACCCAACTTGCCGGCTCACCAGCGCCACCAGCGCCAGCTGCCAGCAGCCAGCAGCCTACGCCGGCTGCTGCCAACCAGCCGCCACTACCGCAGCCACTGTTGCCGCCACTGCAGCCGCTGCCGACACTGCCGCTACAGCCACCACTGCCTCTGCCGCTACAGCCGCCGCTGCCTCTGCAGCCGCCGCTGCTACGGGACTGCTGTTGCCCACCTTCAGCTTCGGCCACCAGCTAGCTGCTACTGCCATCTTACTGGCACTAGCCGCTGCTGCTACCAACCTCGTACTCACTGCCACTGCTCTGGCCACAGTCATCACTGCTACTACCTCCGATTGTACTCCTCTAGCACCTAGTGCTTCCCACTGCCACTAGTCTCCTCGTTTCTAGAGCTCCTCAACGCGTCTCCTCTCGGCACCTACCATCCGCTGGTTACATGTGCAAGATTGATGGCCGCATAGATGGCCAACTCTATCACAGCATATTGCAGGACGAGGTGGCTCAAACTCTTGATTTCTATTATTTGACCGTCTCTGGCATGACGTTCCAGTACACTGCACGACCCCAAACCCAAGTGCAGGATCGTTCAGGAGTGGCTAGCAGAGCAAGATTTTTTTGTCCTCAATGACCCTATTCCTCTCCCGACCCCAATCCCATCGAGCAGCTCGCCAAACATGAGCAACCTCCCATAGGCATGCTGCAAACTTGGGAGGAGGTGCACGAGGCATGGGACAGCATTGGGGCTGGCGTGTGCAAGGCTTTGATAGAAAGTATGCCTAGGAAGATCACAGCAGGAAGTAGGGACCACTACCATCCGCTCTCAGATTTCTCGCTTACCGTCTACAGCTGGTGAGCCCGCACCTAGACTGCAGGCTCCTAGAGTATCACATTAGTTACCTTGTTGGCTTCTGGCTCCACGACCTCGATGTCTGCTTCCCTGCACTCTGGCCGGTGCCTCAGCTGCAGCAGCAGCAGCAGCAGCCGCAGTGGGGTTTTGGGGGTGCTGAGCGAGGCGGAGGCTCTGGAGGTGTGGCCCCGGGGTGGTCACTTCCCTGGGCGCAGTGTGGTTTCTCTGGAGGACCGGAGGCCTTGGGGCCTAGGGGTCTAGGTCCCACCACTGCGTCTAGTATAGGAGCCTCTACTACGTGTCCCCTAGGCTCCTCCCCTGCCCCCCTGCAGCGGCCCTCTCTTTTATGCTTGACTCGGGTGCGTCTCGTTGCTTCTTTAGGGATAGCACTGCTCTCACCCCGCTTCTTGCGCCTGTCCGCATCGCACTAGCAGACTCCTCCGCCACATCCGCCGCACATAGCACCACCACTCCCCCTTGTCCAACTGTCCCCTCCGGCTCCCTCACCAGTCTGCACATCCCCTCGTTTGCCAGGAACTTAGTGGGTGTTGGTCACCTTCAGGACCGAGGCGTCACCACTACGTTCCCTTGCCGCGAGAGACACGCGGCTTGCACAGACACAGCCACCGGTTGGCACTTAGTCACGTTTGAGCGTGACCCAGGGTCCGGTCCCTTTACACTGCATACTGAGTCCCCTCCGACTGCTGCGTCTGCCGCGGTTGCCACGTCCTGATCCTATCGCAATCTAGTTTCCGTGGTGAACCTAGACGAAGGGTCAAGCGAGGGGTGAAGAGTTACAACCACCCGGTGCCGATTTCAGATTTTTCGCCAGGTGCAGGAGCGGGATGAGCAGGGCAAGTGCGAAGAGTGGGCGAAGGTTTGGCGGGACTCGGCGGCTAATGGGGGTTTGTCAGCTGTCATACAAGGGCTGGACGTCCCAGCTGGTGACTCTGGCGAAATGTGATTCGTGAGCTGCGAGCCGTTCAGGAGACAACACAGATGCTTGGGCGAGTCGTGGTGCCAGCGAGGCTCGTGCATTCCGCCCCTGTAGTAATTCCCCGCCTCGAGGTACTGGGCGAGATCCGCCTCGGGACCGTCGTTTGGCTGGTGCTGGATCGTCTGCCTGTGACCTTTCTTCCTCCGTGCTGAATTCAGCGTGGCGATCAGATATGTAAGACCGGTCTGCAGCTTCTTCCTCAGCTGTTGTTTCCTCCGCTCGTCTTAAAGCCCTTTGTGCGGCTTGCTGGAACTCGTTCCGTAGGCCTCTGTCGCTAAGTGTCCGTCCACCACGCACTCAACCTCCACCCCTTAGTCGTCCTTGCCGTCCGCCGCGCCCTTCGGAGCTGGGTGTTGATCCTCGTCTACCGCTGCCTCACGCCAGTGGTTGGTCGTCAACCTCCTCCCCTGTGGGCACCGGCGCCGGAATATTCGGTGCTGGTGATGGACCTCCTGCTCTCACCGTGCAGCCATCGACGTGTATAGGACGTGCAGCACCCAGCGGCGTCATCGTCTGCCGCTGGGGCGTCGTCGACCGTCTCCTGTGATACGTGGCGGGGTGACATCACGGGGATCTTGGCGTGGCGTCCTGCCAGATCCTCGCGAGTTGTTTCCGAGTGCCACCGCATCGCCGGTGGGGCTTCCTCGGGGCGTGCGGTTGCGGCACTCTCCTCCTCTGCAGGTTCCACGGTTGCGCCGCGCGAGATACGGCCCGTATTATAGCCATCAGCAGCAACTTGTTGGTCTCGCGGACTGTCTTGGCTGGGTCGCAGAGTTGCTGGATCTGCTGCACGCCTCCCTCGAACGACGGCCCCCCGTGGCGCATGATCTGGTGCTGTCCCGACAGCAGAGCGCTCAGGCTTAGGAGGCTGTTTTCATGCTGCTGTGGGGCCTGGTATATGTGCCTCTTCAGCCACGGGTGGCCGTGGATGAGGCAGCTGCCGCCCCCCTTACTGTGACAGTGTTGTCTCGTGCCGTGTCGGCTGACACATCGTCTGGTCTTGTCATTGCTGCCGCGTCTGTTCTTCACGCTGTGCGGCTCGTGATGGCACGGCTGCTCCCCCCGGGTTGAGCAACGGGCCGGTTTTAATCCTCTTCACACCCATGATGCTTGCATGCCGTGGGCGGGGTACCGAGGCGGGGTTCGCGGCCCTACCTAGGATTGAACATTCGGTGGTGCTTGCGTTGAGGTGGTTGTGACTCTGGAACTGGTTGTATCGTATTGGAAATATTGCATCTGACCGTCTACTCCCCACCTAAGGCGCGGCCGTAGGCGGGAGCTGGCCGACAAAGAACAGAGCCTTGCCAAGGACTAGAATGAATAATGGAGGAACTGGGAAGAGAGATCCTTTATAGCTCAGTCTCTCTCTCTCTCTCTCTCTCTCTCTCTCTCTCTCTCTCTCTCTCTCTCTCTCTCTCTCTCTCTCTCTCTCTCTCTCTCTCTCTACATATACATACATATATAATTTATATACAGTGACGGAAACAATTGTCCGTATGTTTTCATTCATTAGGGTTTTTAGGCTTTAAGACCACTATACATCAAGCCTTAATGCTTAATGGTGGTACGATTTGGGAGGGGCACATACTCGATGTGTTCACAACACAAAACTTGAGAATAGTATATTGGATCTAACTCATACCCCAAAAGATGTACATGAGTACATCTGGACAAATAGTTCCAAGCATAGAGAGCAAACTTCAGAACTGCATTTCTGGTACCTAGTCCACTGACCCTTGGCCTTGATCACCGCCTGCACCCTCTGAGGCATGCCGTCGATGAGGTTAGAGAAAAACTCGGCATGGATCTTCTCCCATTCTTCTTGGACCTGTTCCCAAGGCTCCGACATTCCTGAGGGAGGCTTTTTATACTTGACCAACTCCCTCTTCAGGTAAGCTCAGAGGTTGATCTTTGATGTGGAAGAAGGCCACTCCAGAGCTACATCCTCATGCTCTCCAAGTCATTCCTGCACTAGGCATGACAAATGCTTGGGGTCATCGTTCGCACCAAAATGACCTCAGAGGGGGAAATGCTGTAGAAATCGAGAGTGGATTCGAGTTCGTTGTGCAAAATGCCCTCATACAAGGGCCGGTCCATGCGCCCGTCCGTCTTGCATATGAACTTCACCCCCTTGCATGTCATACATCTCTACACCATCACCGAGCCTTGTCCCCATGGTTTACCGTCTGTTTGATTTGGTGGTGCTGCGGGGTTGTGCCTTCACGCATCTAGGCAAACGCGTGGCCATTGGAGCAGAAGCAGTTGATCTTGGTCCCATTTTACCAGATCACATGCTTCCAAACATTAATTGTCCACTCAGCATGCGACTCCACGAATTGCCGCCAGCCCCAAATATTCTTCCACAACAGTCATGTCTTCTACAACTGCTGCTCCGTGACTAGACCCATGGATCCTAGTGTGATTTTAATGGTGCAAGGATGCGTAGTCGGGTGTGCTACCCTCAGTTTCGCGGTGTCAACGCTAGTTTTGGCCGCTCTGTTCGTGATTTTACCCTACAACGGTACGAC